GAGCTCAGATCGTCATTGTGTTCATGTCACGTGCCTTATAGACCATTGGACCTATAGAATATTAGCGTATTCCCAAACCTTTAATTCTACTTTAGGTTTGAACTCGTAACTCTTATGTAAGTCCCGAACGCTCTTGCTCCTGACCACCCAGAGAACCACAATAATGCAAGCACGGTATGCGGAATTTGTAACGGCTTTCTACATGGTTCAACAGGAATATAGATTGACTAGAAAATACTTTCAACGATAATCCCTTTAGAACACAGATATATATTCATAAAAATGTGTATGTCGGTAAGGGAAGATGTGGACGAGTGGTAGAGCGCTCGACTGCTAAACCCGAAAGTATCAAGTTCTGATCACGTTCTAGGAGTATGTAGAACGTTCCTGAGTCCACCCAGCTCTTGGTACTTGGATATATTGTTGATCACATTCCTTCATTTGCCGAGGTCTACTTCATAATTGGGGCTGAAATAGTAATTTTCCCTTACTTTAGATCACCAAGAAAAAAATATTTAGAACTGAAATAAAATGAACTGTAAGAATTTTTGAATTTTTAAAACCGTTAGCCACATATAATGTTAAAATTAGCATCTCTGTTTTTATTGATTGAATAAATTGATTAAGATTGTACCAATAACCTAATGGTAGCGCCGTGCCAGTGTTTATTTATGAGCTGGGTATTGTGTGGGGAAACTCTCTGTCCCTGGGCGGGCGGACCTAGAATAGATAGGATGGGATAGATGATCCTAGAACAGATAAACTGCGATTGATGATCCTAGAATAGATAAACTGGGATTGATGATCCTAGAATAGATAAAGTGGGATTGATGATACCAGAATAGAAAAAGTGGGATTGATGATACCAGAATAGAAAAAGTGGGATTGATGATCCTAGAATAGATAAAGTGGGATTGATGATCCTAGAATAAACTGGAATTAAAGATCCTAGAATAGATAAACTGGGATTTATGATCCTAGAATAGATAAACTGGGATTGATGATCCTAGAATAAACTGGAATTAAAGATCCTAGAATAGATAAACTGGGATTGATGATCCTAGAATAGATAAAGTGGGATTGATGATCCTAGAATAGATAAACTGGGATTGATTATCCTAGAATAGATTAACTTTGATTGATGATCCTAGAATAGATAAACTGGGATTGATGATCCTAGAATAGTTAAACTGGGATTTATGATCCTAGAATAGATAAACTGGGATTGATGATCCTAGAATAGATTAAGTGGGATTGATGATCCTAGAATAGTTAAACTGGGATTTATAACTGGAATTGATGATCCTAGAATAGATAAACTGGGATTGATGATCCTAGAATAGATAAACTGGGATTGATGATCCTAGAATAGATAAAGTGGGATTGGTGATCCTAGAATAGATAAACTGGGATTGATGATCCTAGAATAGATTAACTGGGATTGATGATCCTAGAATAGATAAAGTGGGATTGATGATCCTAGAATAGATAAACTGGGATTTATGATCATAGAATAGATTAACTGGGATTGATGATCCTAGAATAGATTAACTGGGATTTATGATCCTAGAATAGTTAAACTGGGATTGATGATCCTAGAATAGTTAAACTGGGATTGATGATCCTAGAATAGATTAACTGGGATTGATGATCCTAGAATAGATAAAGTGGGATTGATGATCCTAGAATAGATAAACTGGAATTAATGATCCTAGAATAGATAAAATGGGATTGATGATCCTAGAATAGATAAAGTGGGATTGATGATTCTAGAATAGATAAACTGGGATTGCTGATCCTAGAATAAACTGGGATTGATGATCCTAGTTTCTAAAAAAAATAATTGGTCTCAACTCGAACTTTGATCTCAGGTCGAGCCGGCGGATGAATATTTGACTGCGGTAATGAGTCAAGTGTTTGTCGGTTGCTGTTCGAAAATCAGGGGCGTCTACTGCATAAACTATGACGCGTTTTCTTACCAACAATAGTGCGGTTGTCTTTCTTGTGTGGTCCTTGACTCATCGGGGTTTCATTGAAATTCATGATGTCGGAGGTTGTGCGTCCGAGTGAGTGTGAGATTGTTAGCGAAGAATGTAAGCGGAGAATGTAAGCAGAGAATGTAAGCAGAGAATAGACGGTAACGAGTACCGTCTAGTATGCTGCGATGACTCTCCATATCAAGAGAGATAACTAGGTGGTGATTAGAATTTAATCGATATTTCGGGCCTCTTAGTTGTCTTGCACGTTTTAAAATATACATTTGTCGGGGAGGGATGGAGGAGGAGGAGGGGGTGTTTTTTAAACTTTTATACCCGCCTACAACTTTGGAGGTCGCAGTGAAGATCAGTCTTATTTTCTTCATCACTCGAAAATTATTATGTCTTGTTTCAGCATTTTAAAATATTGATCTTCTGAATGTAACCAGTTTAGTTTAACGAGGACGTTTAAAACATAGTCACGATATAAAACCGCAACCAAACCCAAGACATTGAAACATGTTAAAAATACAGACAAGTCTATCAAAACCCATTGCAAAAGCTTGTTACAAATACTTATGCTTAGACACAGTACAATTAAGACCTAAACCCATTGTAAATATCTAACACGACAAAAGCACCTGACAAAAATCCATTACATCTAAGACAACAACCTCCCTACAAAATCCCATTTTTAAACAAAAATTACCTCTTAAAATGGCTTTTTAGTGAGTGGTGACTGAGGTTGCTGATGTTGAGTTTAAGCTGACTTTAATTAATTTGATCCAATTATCTCTTGTATTTGTCCTATACCATCACACAGCTGATTTTAATTAATTTGATCCAATTATTCCTTGTATTTATCCAGCAATGTAGGACTTCCAATGTAATTATTAACGCCACGTAATTTTGTCTTGCCTAAAATTTACTCGAACAACCTAGTTTAATCATTTAAATCGTTAATCCAAGTTACATCATACTCATTTTGTATTTTATAGTCTATTGTGTAGCCATTTTCTTTTTTAGCATATGGTTATATCCTCTATGGCTTTTTATTCCTTTGCATACACACGTATCTTTGATATGTATTTTCTTTAAAAAAGTATTGTGTCTTCTTCAACGTGGAATATTAAATGTTTCGAAATGACTACGCGCAGCGAAATGCATACCGCCTAGCCTCCCCAAGGCTCTAGGCTATGCGGAGTAAATATGTATGCGTCTATATTATTTCTCCCTGCTTATAATGTTATAATGTGATAAACTGCTGTATAAAAATGTGTATCCACACCCCTCAACACCCCACACAGGTCAGCAACATGAGGGTGTGAAGCAGATATGTGTGGTCAGTCCTCGTTACTGGCACAGCGGGCATGATGCGGCATTGTTATTGGACACCTTGTATATCATAAAAAAACGCCTACGATTGTTTTCTATGATATACAGTTTAGTGAGATGAAATATAAGTAAACATATTGAATATTTAATGAGGTGTATGTTTGCTTTCTCCCCCCCCCCCCCCTCCCATGTCCAACAACAAGCATAAACTTTATTCCCAGAATCCTACGTAGAAAAAAAAAATATATAACCAAAACGAGACCGGGGTACGTTGAAATAACCCAAGGGCTATAACTCTCCTTTTTAGTTGCGAACCGGATAACTGTTTTTTAAAGTATTTTTTTTTAAAATGGCCAAATATGGGTAATTAGTGAAACACTCGTACTCACACACCAACCTGACGGGGGCGCTGGTGTTAAGGTCAACTGGCTGGAGAGTCCGTAGGGGTGAGAGTAAAAAGGTTGCCTACTTTACATCGTGATCCGTTTGGTTAGGTCTGTTTTCATCCTGCGCGGTGTTGATTTGATTACGTGGGCGGTGTGATACATGGGGGTGGTGTGTGGGGGGGGGGGAGGGGAGTTGCATCAGACTTGTCAGTGGAGGAGTGACTGGGTTGACCTTAAGACACAGACAAAATATTGTTAAGTCTGTTGTCTGTTTTTATCTGTTCAAGCGCCGCGGGTGCTTTTAGACGTGACCTTTGGCCTGTATTTTATGGCGTGCGTGGTCATGAAATTTTCAACATTAGCTGGAGCGTAGGACAGCGACATTTTCCCCCCTCTGGCTGGTCTCTATACAACTCTCTTTATATGACCTGGTCATCGGACTCGTGTACCGGACTTTTTGTCCTGGTCACTTGAGTACAACATGTAGCTGGTATCATTGGTCGTGACTCAAGTACAGTGTAAGGGACGGCGTGGTCTAGCAGTAGAGCACTAGACCTCCAACTCGAAAGTCTCGAGTTCAAATCCGGGTTCATGTCAGCAGAACGTTCCACGGTCCACCCAGCTCTGATGGATATAACTTAGGGAAAGTAAAGGTGGCTGAGCATAGTGCTGACTACACTGTCCCCTCTTATGCCGAGGCCACAGAAACTCTACTTGCCCCTAAAAGGGAACTTTAAAGCAGAACTAAAGTAAATTGAATATTGGGAGAAAAATGGAGAGAAGTAGATTATGTCGCTTGTCTACGGACTTCACTCTGTATTTTATGAGCGGACTTTGATAAACGTGGTTTTTGTTTGGAAGAAAGTCCAAAGTATCATCGATAAACGTCGGCATCCATGGCTTTGGGTACCTACAATCGAGCGTTTACCACTTTAACATATCCAGCATGCTTTCACACCTGCTTTTATTTTTACTCCACATATACACAATATGGGTGTGCATACTCTAAAAAGCTTATCTTAACTTGTACGTGTTTGTTTTGCAAAGTTTTCCTGTTGAAAATCCTGACTTGCTATGCTTGTGTTGTAAAAGTTAAATGATTGAATATCTTAACTAAATCGTGTTGATGTTTGTGTTGGTTGAAAAAAAGTTGAATGATTGAATATCTTGACTAAATATTGTTGATGTTTGTATTTTAAAAGTTAAATGATTGAATATCTTGACGAAATCTTGTTGATGTGTGTGTTGTAAAAGTTGTATGATTGAACATCTTGACTAATTCCTATTGATGTTTTGACCCCAGTTGGTAGCTGACCAGTGCCTTCTACTCCTGGACCTGCTGGTCGAAGATTCCAGACTCCCTCTCACACCAGCCCACATGGCCAGTCTCAGGAGAAGTTTGCACGTGACGGAGGCCAACGCTGAGGTAACGTTTTGTTCTCTACCTGTAGACTGTAGGTGAGTAGAACACTTCTGACGCTGGGGTCACCTCGTGTGTAATTTCTATTAGAATATTGAAACCTGTCCTTATAAAGCACGTGTCGTGTAGTGATGGTGTTGCAGAATAGACCACGTCAGTCAGGTCTTAAAAAAGTGTATGTTATGGTCTTAAGTAGAACCAAACTATATGTCCCCCCCCCCTATAACTACAATGGTAAGATATGCTATAGCCATAAGCACTTTACTGTTTCACCCGCAGTTGAGGTTTTTGTCTAAATAAAAAATTAGAAACGTATTTTTTAAAGACCTGACAGTTAATCTGAAAAAACGAAAGTTGAGCTTAGTGTATTTTCGTGACTAAAACCGTGTTTTCGTGCCCACCAATGTATTCGTGAGCACGCTATATGACTGACTGTCGACAATGTTGTGTTTGTTTTCTTGACTCAGCTGCCTGTTACCAATGTCTGTACTAGAAAACCTTGAGCCACGAGTAGGAATAAAACCGTGGCTTAAGTCAGTGGTATAGAAACTATATACCACGGCCCTCATATATAAACTCTAACACTATCATTAAACTATTGATGACTTACTTTGTGTGACGATTTGGTTCCCCTTAACGGAAAAGTTCGACTTGTGTGTTGACAGGTACAACACAGCTGGTGTGAGCTGGTCGTGGCTAGACGGGCTGTCCGATGGGTGAGGGACGTCCAGGTGTTTCTGTACCGGCACCAGGTGAGTGGCTCAGCTGGTTGAGGGACGTCCAGGTGTTTCTGTACCGGCGCCAGGTGAGTGGCTCAGCTGGGTGAGGGACGTCCAGGTGTTTCTGTACCGGCACCAGGTGAGTGGCTCAGCTGGGTGAGGGACGTCCAGGTGTTTCTGTACCGGCACCAGGTGAGTGGCTCAGCTGGGTGAGGGACGTCCAGGTGTTTCTGTACCGGCACCAGGTGAGTGGCTCAGCTGGGTGAGAGACATCCAGGTGTTTCTGTACCGGCACCAGGTGAGTGGCTCAGCTGGGTGAGGGACGTCCAGGTGTTTCTGTACCGGCACCAGGTGAGTCGCTCAGCTGGGTGAGGGACGTCCAGGTGTTTCTGTACCGGCACCAGGTGAGTGGCTCAGCTGGGTGAGGGACGTCCAGGTGTTTCTGTACCGGCACCAGGTGAGTCGCTCAGCTGGGTGTGTCAGGTGTCAGTTATGTGTCAGTCTTATAGGTGTGCCAGTCGACTCACCCCGGTGGTTTTGTCATCCTATTGAGTAGGTTTGTCTGGATCCACCAAAGCTGCAGTAATTGTAACATTAATATTGTCTCACCCCCTTTGGTGCAAGGTTGTTGTCTCATCACCTGTCTTGGTCTCACCACCTGTCTTGGTCTCACCACCTGGTCTAACCACCTATCTTGGTCTCACCATCTGTCTTGGTCTCACCATCTGTCTTGGTCTCACCTCCTGTCTTAGTCTCACCACCTGTCTTGGTCTCACCATCTATCTTGGTCTCACCGCCTGTCTTGGTCTCACCACCTGTCTTGGTCTCACCATCTGGTCTCACCACCTGTCTTGGTCTCACCACCCGTCTTGGTCTCACCACCTTTCTTGGTCTCACCACCTGTCTTGGTCTCACCACCTGTCTTGGTCTCACCACCTGTCTTGCCTGTCATGGTCACACCGTCTTGTCTCACCACTTGTCTTGGTCTCAACATTTGTCTTGGTCTCACCACCTGTTTTGATCTCGCCACCTGTCTTGGCATCACCACCTGTCTTGGTCTCACCACCTTTCTTGGTCTCACCACCTTGTCTCACCACCTGTCTTGGTCTCACCACCTGTCTTAGTCTCACCACCTGTCTTGGTCTCACCACCTGGTCTCACCACCTGTCTTGGTCTCACCACCTGTCATTGTCTCACCACCTGTCATTGTCTCACCACCTGGTCTCACCACCTGTTATTGCCTCACCCTCAGGCCCTGGGTGTTTACCTGTACGGTGAGCTAATGATCAGCGAGACCCCACGCCTACAACAGCTGGCTCGCACGTGCTACTCCCATCTGCAGGACAGCATGTCCGAGGGGACCAGGACAACCGTCAGGTCCCTTCTCTTCCCAGAGGACACCTCGACACGTGACCAAGTCATCTTGTGATTGGACCGTTCGACTGGACTGCAGAATGGACTGTTGTGTGGCAGTAATTGAAAATATGAAGGGGGCTTAACTCTGCTAAAATTGTTCTAGTTTGAGTTAGTTGTTTTAGTTGATGCCGGATTACCAGCGATTCGTCTCGGTGACGTGCTGCAATTAGGGCAGCATTAGTGATATTCACAGTTGATTAATAATGACGTATTTCAAAAACAATGGTTTCATACAGACAGGGGCGTAGCGAGGGGGGGGGGGGCGGGGAATGCGGACCGCACCGGTGACACCATTTAGGGGGGTGACACCAAGGCAAAAAATAGGAACATATATAGAGAAAAACTTGAGGGGGGGGGGTGCAAATCGAAAATTTGAAAGTTTGTCCCCGGGAAGGGTCGCTATGCCTCTGGGGGGGGGGGGGGTGACACCATTAAAAGCCGCACCGTGTGACACCCGAACTCGCTACGCCACTGCATACAGAAGTAATACCTCCAGCGTCATTTGTTAGATTTGTGAATATTGTTAGTTAAAGGCTACCTTTTCTTGGTACAAACATACCTGCAGTCGAGTATGGATGACATTTCTGTGAAATATTCTGTACATTTTTCATGCTGTTTATTAAATGTATGTTATAAATGTACACAATATTGGAAATAAAATAGGCCCATTTCATTGCTTTCCTTATAGCATACAAAAACAAACTTGTTTTTTTGTTATTGTTGCATTTTATTCTTTTGATCTGTCCACCACTCCTTGAACTTTATCACCCTGCTTAGTTCACCACTCCACCACGCCCAACTCACCACTCCACCAAGCCCAACGCACCACTCCACCACGCCCAACTCACCACTCCACCAAGCCAAACTCACCACGCCCAACTCACCACTCCCAACTCACCACTCCCATCTCACCACACCCAACTCACCACGCCCAACTCACCACGCCCAACTAACCACTCCCAACTCACCACTCCCAATTCACCACACCCAACTCACCACTCCCAACTCACCACGCCCAACTCACCACGCCCAACCCACCACTCCCAACTCACCACTCCACCACACCCAACTCACCACGCCCAACCCACCACTCCCAACTCACCACTCCCAACTCACCACTCCACTACACCCAACTCACCACTCCCAACTAACCACTCCCAACTCACCACTCCCAACTCACCACGCCCAACTCACCACTCCCAACTCACCACGCCCAACTCACCACGCCCAACTCACCACGCCCAACTAACCACTCCCAATTCACCACTCCCAATTCACCACACCCAACTCACCACTCCCAACTCACCACGCCCAACTCACCACGCCCAACTCACCACGCCCAACCCACCACACCCAACTCACCACTCCCAACTCACCACGCCCAACTCACCACTCCCAACTCACCACTCCACTACACCCAACTCACCACACCCAACTCACCACTCCCAACCCAACACGCCCAACTCACCACTCCCAACTCACCACTCCCAACTCACCACGCCCAACTCACCACTCCCAACTCACCACTCCACTACACACAACTCACCACGCCCAACTCACCACTCCCAACTCACCACTCCCAACTCACCACTCCACTACACCCAACTCACCACTCCCAACTCACCACACCCAACTCACCACTCCCAACCCAACACGCCCAACTCACCACTCCCAACTCACCACGCCCAACTCACCACTCCCAACTCACCACTCCACCACACCCAACTCACCACTCCCAACTCACCACGCCCAACTCACCACACCCAACTCACCACTCCCAACTCACCACTCCACCACACCCAACTCACCACTCCCAACTCACCACGCCCAACTCACCACACCCAACTCACCACTCCCAACTCACCACTCCACCACACCCAACTCACCACTCCCAACTCACCACACCCAACTCACCACTCCCAACTCACCACGCCCAACTCACCACGCCCAACTCACCACGCCCAACCCACCACTCCCAACTCACCACTCCCAACTCACCACTCCACCACACCCAACTCACCACTCCCAACTCACCACGCCCAACTCACCACTCCCAACTCACCACACCCAACTCACCACTCCCAACTCACCACGCCCAACTCACCACGCCCAACCCACCACGCCCAACCCACCACTCCCAACTCACCACTCTCAACTCACCACGCCCAACCCACCACGCCCAACTCACCACGCCCAACCCACCACACCCAACTCACCACTCCCAACTCACCACGCCCAACTCACCACTCCCAACTCACCACTCCACTACACACAACTCACCACGCCCAACTCACCACGCCCAACTCACCACTCCCAACTCACCACACCCAACCCACCACGCCCAACTCACCACACCCAACTCACCACGCCCAACCCACCACACCCAACTCACCACTCCCAACTCACCACGCCCAACTCACCACTCCCAACTCACCACTCCACTACACACAACTCACCACGCCCAACTCACCACGCCCAACTCACCACTCCCAACTCACCACTCCCAACCCACCACGCCCAACTCACCACGCCCAACCCACCACACCCAACTCACCACTCCCAACTCACCACGCCCAACTCACCACTCCCAACTCACCACTCCACTACACACAACTCACCACGCCCAACTCACCACGCCCAACTCACCACTCCCAACTCACCACACCCAACCCACCACGCCCAACTCACCACTCCCAACTCACCACTCCACTACACACAACTCACCACGCCCAACTCACCACGCCCAACTCACCACTCCCAACTCACCACGCCCAACCCACCACGCCCAACTCACCACTTCCAACTCACCACTCCCAACCCACCACGCCCAACTCACCACGCCCAACCCACCACACCCAACTCACCACTCCCAACTCACCACGCCCAACTCACCACTCCCAACTCACCACTCCACTACACACAACTCACCACGCCCAACTCACCACGCCCAACTCACCACTCCCAACTCACCACACCCAACCCACCACGCCCAACTCACCACTTCCAACTCACCACTCCACCACTCCCAACTCACCACTCCACCACTCCCAACTCACCACTCCACTACACACAACTCACCACTCCCAACCCACCACGCCCAACTCACCACTTCCAACTCACCACACCCAACCCACCACGCCCAACTCACCACTTCCAACTCACCACACCCAACCCACCACGCCCAACTCACCACTTCCAACTCACCACTCCCAACCCACCACGCCCAACCCACCACTCCTACCACTCACATCACCACCGTACCCATCCCACCACTTTATACTAACCTTCTTTAAATTTGTCAAACTGCTAACCCACTTTATCAACTAATCTATCAACTCTCTGTTAAATACTTAAAACCCTTAGAGAAAAACCTTTAATCTCTGTGATAGGGTGCTGTATTACCTTGTTAAATTGCTTATCAATATTTAAATAACGTTTTAAAAAACAGTGCGAGAGAATAGTTTTGCTTAAAATAACTCGAATCTTAATGTAAGTGTTAGAAATATGATTAGCGCAAATCTTGTGCATAGTAAATTAAATAATTGAACCCAACTACTTTAAAGTTTGAAATGATAGCTAACACGTTTTTAATCTAGAAAATGTAATCACTTTAATGTTTGAAACTAAATCTTGAAGTTAATATCCACACTATGTGAATAGTGTGGCCGAACAGTAGTGCGCATAACCGCTAATCTGAAAGCTTAACGATTCGGGTTCATAGTACGTAACCCACCACTGATGGGTATCTATGTCCTAGTTCAGGAAGGCAAAGGCGGCCAAACATATAACTGACCCCACTACTACCCCCATAGGGTCACTGAAACAGGTGAACTACTCACCTGCCCTATATACCGTCCGGTCCGAAAGAGGTAATTTTATATTAGTTTTTGTACGCATTTTAAAATCTTCACAAAATCATGTTACTCATTGGGATAAAACATATATAAAAGCCTTTAGACTACAATAGTTTAACACTAAAAATTATTTCTAAAAAAAACACCCGATGATCACTTGGAAAATCTCTTAGAGATATTGTAACTCACTTGACCTAATGTGATTGTAGGTATCATTCTAAAACAAACTTCTCTTGTTCAAGACTGATTTACTTTTTAATTCTTGTGAGGATAATATATTCCTGCATTGTCATCTGTGTTTGGAAAGATATTAGAACTAGGTTCAAATTTAAGTTCACAATTTTGAGTACAAACAACAAAAAAAAAAAAAAAAAAAAATTAAAAATTAATAAACGGACAATGTGACGTAAGGAAAATTGTATTAAAAATATGTCAAGTGGACTGTATCTGACGATTGCAGCTGTGTATCTTATGAAAAAATAAAATAAAGTCCCCTTTTTGAACCTGACGGTCCATGGGACAAGTGAAGTAGAGTTCACCTGTTTCTGTGACATCGACTAATAAAGAGATTGTGTGGTCAGCAATTTACCCAGCCACCTTTACTTTCTGTAATGTGAGTTGAGTACCCACTACAGATGGGTGGGCTCAGGGACGTTTTACAGACTTGAACCCAAATTCGAACACGACACTTTCGGGTTAGCGGTCTAGCGCTCTACCGCAAGGCCACACAGTCCCGTCATATAAATGGATTGTCTTGAAATAAGTTTTAAAAAAAAAGGAAGATGATGTTAGCTTGTTAAGAGCACCAAAAAAAAAAACAACCACCAAACAGCAAACATTAAAAATGCATTACTGGCAAAAAAAATTCTAAAGTACAAGCAATGAATTCATCAATAAATCAGCAGTCTTAAAATATTAAACTCTGTTTTTTTTAAACTTGTTCTTATTTGATAAAATAGCTCAGCGTATGTTATGAATTGTCCGTAGCTCTCCGAGGTCGTGGGAACAAACCCCACCCACTCGAGGTTTTAAATCTGAACCCGCCACCCTAGACAAGCTGGCACCATCCCCACCCTGAAAAAACAAAACTAGGCCATCTTCGACAGGTCACCCATTTAAAACATAGCAGACGTAAGGCAGACGTCATTGTCTAGACCTCAGGAAGATTCTATTTTTTTTGTGTGGGTGAGCCTCACTCGACATCGCCCTTGTCAGGTCCCCTCTTGACTTGACATGTCAAGGTGTGTCAAGATAGACACTGGACGAGGTCTAGGAGGGCAAAAAGAGCACACGAGGGGGAAAAGAAAAACGAGGAGTAAAAAAAAAAATTAATGCTAAAAATGTGTCGGAAAAATGGTGCGATTAAAACATGCGTATATTTTCTATAATATATTCACTTTACAAAGCATGCCCTGATATTGTACGAGTCCGCGTTTTCGTCTAATGGAGAGATTTATAGAATTTTTAGTCTAGTGTAGAGATTTATAAAGTTTTTTGTCAAGTGTAGGGATTTAAAGTAATGGTCTACACTGTGGATCTTCCACTCATTACCATATAAAACAAACTTTTGATCATCCAGCCCCCCTCCCCCAAATAAAGTTTTTTTTTTAACTTAAAAAAAAGTATTCGAATAACGTCATTTTAATGGTAAACAACATATTACAATTTTATCCTAATAAACAGTCAGGCCTTATTTTATGTTATATGTGCACATAACATTTGTTTTTATATTTACGTAAACTGAACTTTCACGTAAAAAATAATTCACTTATATATTAAAATGAAGCAATTGACTACAATTTTACAAAAAACCTTTGTTTTTTGTTTACATATGGGCCTCTAGGTCCACATAATGCGCCTAGCACATTTACGTTGTGTATATGTTCATATAAAAAATTACAATATTTCAAATCGTGCAGTGATACAATCTGTGCATGTCGAAACTCACGCATTAAAAAACATTCATCTTAAAATTTGAGGACAAATCTAATAAAATTCTACTCAGGGATTTCTTCTATAAATAGCAAAGCAGCGTAGATATGTATAAGACATTGACTTATCAAAAATAGATTGCTATATATGTCCTAATATAGCTAAGATGTTGTTTAATTTATCGGTGTTTCTCAAAATAGTCGCAAAACAATACAAAACTACTTGGAAAAGAGAAAACGTTACTATAAATAACCTCACTCGTATTAAAAAAACAAAACAATCTTTGGCGTGGGAGTCTTAAAAGGAGGCTACTCTAGTCATTCATGCAAAAAAAATCTATCTATACAGATAATATTTTGTTACTAAGCTTTGTAAAACAAATATCTCATCTTATAAGAGTTTTTTTTTCTGCATGAAAAAAAGCTGCAATGAAATATTTCATTGGCCCCTGGGGGAAGCATTGATTCTCTCCCTTAGCACTCGGGCTAACAACAATTCTAATTTATCGAGGGGCGGGGGGAGAGGGTGCGATGTCTTTTGTGGAGTTATTATCCTGAGAAGATAATTTGTTGACTTGAACTCGATCTAAGCGTAGATTTGTTGATTGTATGGGGGTGGGGTGGAAGGTGTAGAAGGTGTGGTGTATTAGATGGTTGGTATGGTGTATGGTGTGTGTAATGGAGGGAATGGTATATGGGATGGATAGTGAGGTGTATGGGATGGAGGGTGTGGCATATATGGTTGATGTTGTGGTGTATGGGATGTAGGATGTGGTATGTGATTGAGTTTGTGGTGTATGTGGTTGAGGTTGTGGTGTATGGGATGGAGGGCGTGGTGTATGGGATGGAGGGCGTGGTGTATGGGATGGAGGGCGTGGTGTATGGGATGGAGGGCGTGGTGTATGGGATGGAGGGCGTGGTGTATGGGATGGAGGGCGTGGTGTATGGGATGGAGGGTGTGGTGTATGGGATGGGGGTGTATGGGATGGAGGGCGTGGTGTATGTGGTTGAGGGTGTGGTGTATGTGATTGAGGGTGTTGTATATGTGGTAGAATATGTGTTATATGTCATGCTGCCAGATTCGGTGGATATGTGGCTCATCACCATGTATGTAAAGGGTTCACCCAGTCAAGTGGTCATGTCAAACAGCTTAAACCAACCGAGAAGTCAGGTCAAATGTTTTGACCTGCACACGAGGACAGGTCAAAGTGAATGACCCGGACAAGTGGTCAGGGAAAACGAATCGACTCAAACATTTGCTTTGAGTTGGATAAACACTCCAAAAAAATCTGGCTATGTTCTGACGTCACGCAGGAAGCTGCCATCAGTTTTATCTGTCTAATGACGTGTTTGTTTGAATGATCTATTATCTTTTAGATAAATGTATTAGTGTGGACCATACAATGTATCCTAGGGGACTATTAAATAAACATATGAGTCATGATCACGATCTGTATAATAAACATGAGTTATGACTACGGCCTGTATGATAAACGTGAGTTATGATTATAGTTTCGCACTTCACTGCACGTGCATGTCTAGCTGAGTACTTGTCGAGGTCACGAGCAGCTGATTGATGACCTTGCAACACACCCAGGTCTCCAGTAGGTCTACTGTAACCCCTCCCGCCCAACAATATCACAAGAATAGCGTGGAAAATGTTATGTCGAATCAGGGGAAGTAATGTCTGTTTGAATACGTCCAGGGGAGGCTACCAAGTTTTATCTTAATAATTTTCCACCCTGTAACGATGTGAACCCTGTATATTGTTCCCCTTGTCGTACACTTTCAAATGTTTTCTTTGACGTCTTGTGCTGAGGTAATGCATTATATCTCAGACAGAGGCGTTCGTCTTAAACACAAAGTGCACTGGACTTGGATTGAGTGTAGTATAAAACTGACTGACCTCTCAGCTTAATCAAATATAGTTTAACACCTACGTGCTCAGCCCTATATTGAATCTCAATATTTTTACTAGATCTACCTCCTCCATCATGTTTAGACCTCACTGTTACTTTAAACAGTTAAAGACACGAAATGGAATTAAACATTTACTGTTCCTTTCAACGGGCAAGAATGATGTTAAAAAATTAAGGATAACTCCAGTACCACCAAGTGGGGGCACCACTGACTGGATAGGACCTCCAGATCCCATTTCAAATATCAGACCAATTCGTTTTTATGTTCATCCAAATGAAACACTTACAGAGAAAAAGTTTCGAATAAGAAGAGCAGAGGTCTTAGAGTGGAATCAACAGTTTTGGGCAGATCATAACTCAAGATTTTTCAAGGAAAAAGAAGAATATGTTCAATCTCTGAAAGAGCTTAGTGCTGACAGCAATAAAAATGTGACCCAAGAAGAGTTATCCCCATTTTACAAAGCCTTTCTAGATAAAAATAGGATCACACATCTAAATTATAACAAGGAATGGTACAGGAAAAACATTACGTTGTTGTGGCCTGCTCTCAAAGTTTCACTGATACGTATTGCAAGAAAATTTAAGAAAGAAAAATAAGGTTACTATTTGTCTAAATTGTTGTTACAATGTGTAACACAATGTGTTGTAGTTTCTGCCAGTTTGTTGAAATGTCATTGATGAAATGTATTGTAATTTAAAATATTTATTAAGATGTAAATAATGTAGATAATGAAATAATGCTTATTCTAAATTATTTCCTGAATTGAGAGATCAACACGCTGTGTAGGGCTTGTAAAATGAAGACTGATTATTTGTATAAAATTAAATGTTTATTACATTAATAAAGAAAGATTAAATATTTCAAAAAAAAAAATATATATATTGAATCTCAACCAAATTTTTATCAGCTGCACTTTCTTTAAGTTGTTTCACTGATCTAGTAAGGCTCGTAAATTATTTTCGTTTTCCCGTGATTGTGAATTATGGTTTATACATTGACTACCAGCCTTCGTATAGGAGGGGGGGGGGGGTGTCAAGTGGTAGAGCGTTTGGTTGCTAGTCTGAAGGTCTTGAGTTTGGACCTCTGTATGGACTTGTAACCAGAGGACGTTAGCTTTGATGGGTACCTGACTTACGAGAGGGATATGGCCTCAGTCTAGAGTGCACACCCCCCCTCTTACCACACTCTCACCCGCATTACGCAGATCAGCGAGAAATGCTTACGCTTATTCGCCCGCACAACTTTCAAAAATCCTCTCAGTCAGCTTTTGTAAAGGACCCAATGTGAGCTAACCCAGCCTTATCCCAGTATCCGGCATAACTAATGTGCTTGTCCACACCCATAACTTGCAAGAATTAAAAAAAAAACAGAAAAAAAAAAAACTAACATTCTCTTAAATGTGAATTTCGCTTACATATTTAATCATAAATCGAATCTACAGCGTCTATAACCTACATTTCCCTCGGAGCTAAAACGTTTGTCAACCCCTCCCCATCGCTATCCCCCGCTCGTTATTAATTTGTCCTGTCTTTTTGTCTAGTGATCTCCCTTAATTTGCATTTTTCCAAGTGAAAAATCTGGCATTGTTAAACAAGTAATATCTCATACGCCCGGCCCGGCAGGATGCAAAAATTTCTCGGCAACATTAGCGTTCTTCTTGTCTTACCCCACTGAAGGATGTCTCGCACTGTCATAGAGAGGAGAAGATAAACTCTGTAGGTGTTGCTCGTATATAACAACATAATATAACATGGAACATGGTATATCTGATATACAACAACACACTTTAAACACAGGACATGTTGTATCTGGTATATAACAACATAATGTAACATGGAGTATGGTATATCTGATATACAACAACACAATTTAAACACAGGACATGTTGTATCTGGTATATAACAACATAATGTAACATGGAGTATGGTATATCTGATATACAACAACACAATTTAAACACGGGACATGGTGTATATGGTATTATAACAACATATTGTAACATGATACGTGCTGTATCTGTGATACCTGGAATACAAAAAACCAATTTAACATGGCACATGGTGTATCTGGTATATAGCAACACCATTTAACATGAGATATGGTGTAATTGGCGTGTTTTTAATGGCCCAATATTGGGACAGGAGTTATTTTCTATATTTCTCAAATATTTTATTACCCATTTTCCCATAACACACATTTGTTCAGTCCTCATTCAATCCAGTCAAAATCCCAACTAATGTAACTTTTCTCTTAACACGGGAGAAGAAAAATCCTGGGAAATTGTGTTGCACTTTTAAATTAACACCACGAACCAAAAGAAAACCCGGACGTTAATGTGGGCAGATACCTCATCAGGCAGACATTTTTTTTTACTTCGGTGACACCCCCCCCCCCTCCCCACCCGTTGGATGGATGTGTGTGCTTTTGTGTGTTTCAGTGTATGAACTGTCCCTCTGATGAAGAACCTTGGTAAGATCGTTGGCATCTAAAAAGAAATTAAGCTCGCTACCACCCGCCCACACAAGTAGAAGAAACGCATTCAACAATTGCCTTCTGTCATCTCATTGTTTTCAATGTCACCACGTCTAAGTTTCTGTAATTTTTTTTACCTTAACTTTATGTTGATCAATTATTGTTGACAGACACGTTTTAAAGATGCTTATTGCCAACCAGTTTAACTGCCTACGGTAATTTTAGCTACTGGTTTAACTGCCTTCTATAATCACAAAACGCTTTAAGATTACTTCATATTTTTTTTTACAATCTCATACAGGTTTAAATACTTAACGGTATTTTAAACTAGATGTTGTATTCCTAAACAATGGCTACAATCTCCCCTATCTGGTAAAGCTTAGCTACTAGCTACAGGCCTAATCATAACATCCTGCTTTAATCTCTATATACCCTGTCCTTGACTACTAGAAAATACACGTTCAAAGCTCATCAGCCTATAATGTTGTCTATCTCACATCTCACTTCACAAACACACCGTAAACTTTAATTTAAAGACGAAAATCGATAACAAACAACCTCTGACAATTTTATTTTTTTCTCTTGGTTTTTTTTTTACATTTAAAAAAATACAGTTAAGAATTGTTAAATGTAAGATGTATGAAAGAAACGAAATAATATATTTATTCAAACAAGAGATTGATCTTTCTGTAAAGTTTCGTGATAGTTTAAATAACATATTTATTTAAAAATTGGAGGGAAAGGGGGATGGGTGGGTTAAAAAAATAACAATGTCGTGATCATTTAAATAGTATATTTATTTTAAAATAAGTGTGTTTAAAAAACAAACTTTCGTGATGTTTTCAATTTCACCTGAGGAATTTTCAAGATGTTGTCGAGTGCTGGATGCCTAATCTTCCCGTCAATATCGGGTAATAGGTGCGTGGTGTGCTTATTCACCTGAGGCTAAGGAAGTTTTTACCTGTCATAAAAACAATGATTGTTGCGTTTCAGCGACGTTAGGATATGGGTTTTACTTTCCCGTATTAAAAAATATGAAGATTTTATGTTATTTTACCATCAGCCATACCATCGTAATAAAGTTACCAGTATGAACTGTAGCAAGACATTCTACACGTAGGTTATATTTCTAATGGTAGTTGGGGTAAATGTTTATGGCTAGGGTTAGAGTTCTAATTAAAGTTAGGGTAAGTGTTTATGGTTAGGGTTAGAGTTCTAATTGAAGTTAGGGTAAGTGTTTATGGCTAGGGTTATAGTTCTAATGGAAGTTAGGGTAAATGTTTATGGCTAGGGTCAGATTTCTAATTGAAGTTAGGGTAAGTGTTTATGGCTAGGGTTATAGTTCTAATGGAAGTTAGGGTAAGTGTTTATGGCTAGGTTTAGAGTTCTAATTGAAGTTAGGGTAAATGTTTATGGCTAGGGTTAGAGCAATGCTTTAGTTCGAGTAAAAACGTAGTGTGCTGTACTTTGTTTTTATTTAAAAATTCGAATTACACCGTATGTCTCCCCTCCCTTGAGTTCTTCTGCCTGATTCCGACTGAATTCTACATGACTTGCATCATCAAAGAGATCTCTTATACCTCAACAGCACAGTGCTATTTTCAGAAACTTATCAAGCAGTGGGTCACAGCGACCTAGCAAGTAGTCGGTAATTCCTTTCTAAAAACTCTGTCCTAAACATGATGATAGAAAACAAATGCCAAGAGAATTGAAACAATTAACTTGCTCGCCACACTCATGGTTACACGTTTTTTTTTACCAAGATAAGATAAAAATCTTTGTTTTTGTTTTTTTTTAGTATTAGGCCATGGACTGAATTCATTTCTGTTAATTCGCTAAACCCCAAAATTAACTTAAACCAAAATAACTATCATCAATACTAATTTGATAATCGCTATAAGATTACATCGGTGTAAGTATAATTTCATAATATTGTTATTACAGATTGTTTTTCTAGTTTTTGAAATTAATATCTCAGTTATAATCGATATAGGGAATTTCCGGAAAAATAGTAGACCCGCGCGTAGGTGTGCATGGGTGCGGGGATACCAGGTCAAGTTGCGCATGCGTGGGATAATACGATAACAAGAACAGGCAGGGTTATATCTGCAATTAGCATGTCAATACGCATGCGCCTGGGAACGTTATCTGTCAGAGGTTGAGATTAACATGAATGGATAAGTGAGGCTCATCAAGTCGAATGAGGTAAAAATGTTCAACGACCGTATTTAATCATCCCAATATACCAAACGGTGTAAAGGTTAGAGTAATAGTCACATTATTTCCATGAAATGTATACACTACGGGGCAGTGCGCATGCGCAATTCATTTTTGTGTGTTTATAAAATAAATATGCGAGTTGCCGTGAAATATTCATAAGGTGCTTTACTGCGTGGAAGGTGTAACTCAATTAGTCATGTTTTTTTTTCTAACAACAATTGTCGTGCCCTTCTGTTGAGTCTGTGGTTTATGACAGACTTCAGGTAAGTCTGTTGTTTATGACAGACCTCAGGTGAGTCTGTTGTTAATGACAGACCACAGGTAAGTCTGTGGTTTATGCCAGACCTCAGGTAAGTCTATGGTTTATGCCAGACCACAGGTAAGTCTATGGTTTATGCCAGACCGCAGGTAAGTCGGTGGTTAATGACAGGTAAGTCTGTGGTTTATGCCAGACCTCAGGTAAGTCTGTGGTTTATGGCAGACTTCAGGTAAGTCTGTGGTTTATGACAGACCTCAGGTAAGTCTGTGGTTTATGGCAGACCTCAGGTAAGTCTGTGGTTTATGCCAGACCTCAGGTAAGTCTGTGGTTTATGGCAGACCTCAGGTAAGTCTGTGGTTTATGCCAGACCTCAGGTAAGTCTGTGGTTTATGCCAGACCTCAGGTAAGTCTGTGGTTTATGGCAGACCTCAGGTAAGTCTGTGGTTTATGCCAGACCTCAGGTAAGTCTGTGGTTTATGGCAGACCTCAGGTAAGTCTGTGGTTTATGGCAGACCTCAGGTAAGTCTGTGGTTTATGGCAGACCTCATGTAAGTCTGTCGTTTATGGCAGACTTCAGGTAAGTCTGTGGTTAATGACAGACCTCAGGTAAGTCTGATGTTTATGGCAGACCTCAGGTAAGTCTGTTGTTAATGACAGACCTCATGTAGGTCTGTGGTTTATGCAGACCTCAGGTAAGTCTGTGGTTTATGGCAGACCTCAGGTAAGTCTGTGGTTTATGCCAGACCACAGGTAAGTCGGTGGTTTATGCAGACCTCAGGTAAGTCTGTGGTTTATGGCAGACCTCAGGTAAGTCTGTGGTTTATGGCAGACTTCAGGTAAGTCTGTTGTTAATGACAGACCTCATGTAAGTCTGTCGTTTATGGCAGACTTCAGGTAAGTCTGTGGTTTATGGCAGACCTCAGGTAAGTCTGTTGTTAATGACAGACCTCAGGTAAGTCTGTGGTTTATGCCAGACCACAGGTAAGTCGGTGGTTTATGCAGACCTCAGGTAAGTCTGTGGTTTATGCCAGACCACAGGTAAGTCTGTGGTTTATGGCAGACTTCAGGTAAGTCTGTGGTTTATGCCAGACCACAGGTAAGTCTGAGTCTCGTCAGAGTTTGGGGTAACTATGGCGGTTACCAGCGGAGTCACAAACTAATTAGCGGAGTCACAATTGAATGAAGCAACCATCAGAGTCATTATTGAATAACACAGCGCGTTTAACCTCAAAACGTCAAACTCGCCGAGTCACATTGAGCAAGACATCAATGCCATCCCTTGTCAAACCCCCCCCCCCCCCCACACACACACACCACACAATGATGAAATGATATTTCTTTTTTTCTGCAAATAAAAACTTCAAGATCTGCATCTCCCATTGTCTTGACAGAAATTGAGTTAATTTATCGTGACACTGAAACGATGTTAAGTTGATGTCTCTCGCC